TTTACCTTGAAAAATTTAGTAGTTTGAAAACATTGCCTTTTCTTTCATTATCTATTTATTTATGTGGAACATGAGCCCTTCTCCAAGTGCTTTTTATCAGAACCCTTCCTTGGGCCAGGCGCCTGGGTGGCGATGGCTGTGCCACAGCTGACAAGCCACCAGTAGCCGGCAGCCAGAGATAAGACTCCAGAGGGGGGAACAAGGGCTTCAAATCCCCTTGGAGATGAATTTGCACCTCGCAGCTGCTGGCTGTGGCATCCCTCAGCAGTGCCTCTCTGCCGTTCTCCAGGGCTCTGCGCCATCATCCACTACCTGGTCTGTGGGCAACTGGGCTGGCTGGGGGTGACAGTCGCCTGCGTGGTGCCCGGCTACGCAGCTCAGCTCCTCAGCATCCTCTGGTTCCGGGCAGACGGTTTCCCACCCGACTGCTGGCTCCTGGTGCTCCACCTCCTGCAGCTGGGCCTCTGGAAGCGGTGAGAGAGAATTGTTTTGGTTGGAAAAGACCTTTAAGATCATCAAGTCCAATGGTTATCTCACTCTACCAGGCTCACTTCTAAACCACATCCCTGAGCACTATATCTATACGGCTTTTAAATGTATCCAAGGATGGCCATTCAACCCTTTCAGTGTAGAAGCTTTTCCTGATGTCTCACCTAAACCTCCCCTGGAACAACTTAGAATCATAAAATCATAGAATTGTATCAGCTGGAAGAGACCTAGAAGATCATTGAGTCCAGCCTTTGTCCCAGACCTATCAACTGGCTAAATGATTCCCCCCAACGCAACACCCACCTGTCTCTTAAACACCTCCAGGAATGGTGACTCAGCCCTTGCCTGGGCAGCCTGTTCCAATGGGTGACAACCCTTTCAGTAAAGAAATGCTTCCTAATATCTAACCTGAACCTCCCTTGACGCAATTTAAATCCAATTCCCTCTTGCCCCCCCCCACGAGGGAAAACAGCCCAGCCCCCGCCTCTCTGCAACCTCCCTTCAGGTAGTTGTAGAGAGCGATAAGATCTCCCCTCAATCTCCTCTTGAGGCCATTTCCTCTTGTCCTCTTGCTTGTTACTTGGGAGAAGCAAACAACCCCCACCTCACTGAAGCCTCCTTTCAGGTAGTTATAGAGAGTGAGGTCTCCCCTCAGCCTCCTCTGCTCCAGCTGAACAGACCCAGGTCCCTCAGCCACTCCTCACCACACTTGGTTTCCAGACCCCTCCGCAGCTCCGTTGTCCTTCTCTGGACACACTCCAGCACCTCCATGTCCTTCTTGTCCTTAGAGTCCCAAAATTAACACAGGACTCAAGGTGCAGCCTCACCAGTGCTGAGTCCAGGGGGACAATCTGCCCTGCTCCTGCTGGCCACATCAGTGCTGACAGAAGCCAGGATGCCGTTGGTCTTCTTGGCCACCTGGGCACACTGCTGGCTCATGTTCAGTCAGCTGTTGATCATGGTCCATCCAGCCCTCCCTAGCCTGGGCGCAGTCCCAGACTTGCCAAAACCAGGGTGGACACCCCATCACGGTGACTCTTGCAGGTACTGGGATGTTTTGCGGATGGTGACAAAGGCGGGCGGCAATGCCCGTGCCAGGGAGGTGCTGATGCAATGCGGGGACGTGTGTGTGCTGCAGCTCCTGGAAGCCCTTCTCCAGAGCCTGCCTCACCTCCTGGTTCAGGCCTACGTCGTCGTGGCAGTCGACCCAGCAGGTTTCATCCCTGGTGAGCGAGGAGGTCCTGGGAGGATGCTGTGAGTTGCAGAGGGGTGATGGGTTTGGGTGAGGGAACTCGTGTTCCTCCATCTGGGAGGGCTCAGGGCAGGCTCCAGATGGAGGAACATGCTGCAGAGAGGCTGGAAAGCCCCAGTGCAAGGCAACAGGGAGAAATGTGCCTTAAAGATCTGCTGTGGTTGAATGTGGAGGAGTCTCTGAGCTACCCATGGCTTCTCCCAGCCAGAAGAGTTAGTCCTCCATACAGGGGACCTCCATGGCAAGACAGTGCCTTGGCTGGGTTTGAACCCAACACGTGTTCCTATTGACGTCCAGCCCTAATGGCACTTAAAGGCTGAGCATTTTGGGGGTCTGCTTTGTAGAAAAGAACTTTCAGATGTGCAAAGGGAGGACTTGAGGTGTGGAGTCAGGTCACGCTCAAGTACGGTGTCAGTCTCAGGTCCCATCGCAGTGACCGGAGATGGAGCTGCCCTGCCACCCATGGGAGAGAGGATTTAGGCAGGGACATGCCAAGAGTGCAGAGGAGACTGGAGTCACCAGGAATTGGTTCAAATACTTCAGCTGGCAGGACAGTGAGTGCCTGGCTTGTATTGGGGTGCCACGCTGCCAGCAGCTCCTTGGCGTTGAAATACTGTGCCGTCGGGCATCCCTCCGAGCATCTGACTGTCCCTGTCCCCGTGCAGGTGTCAGCGCTGGGCTGTCCCTGCTCTCCCTCGCTTGGGCTTTGGTCTCCTACAGCCGCTTCGCCTGCCTGCTGAAACCCGGTCACCTCTGCCCGCCGGCTGCGGCCATCCTCTGCCTGCTGCTCTGGAGGACAGGGATGCTGGGGACCAGGATCCTGGCCCTGGTCCTTTTTGCCAAGCTGTATTCCTTCTGGGTTTTTGCTGTGGCAGGTAAGAGCTATGACCATCTTCCCTGTGTCCCATCCACCGTCAGCCCTGGAGATGCTCCTGGTACTCGAGCACTTTGCAGCATTCCCCTTTCGGTCCCTTCTCCTTGCAGGTGTCCACTGGCTGCTCATGTCCTTCTGGCTGGTGGCCCAGCAGACAGATATCGTGGCCCAGCCTTGCCGTTGGAGGCTTTTCAATTGCCTCGTAGGAGCTGTGCACATCTTCTGCTACATTAATGTCCAGCCCGGTCCTTCCAAGCACAGGGTGGCTGTGTTTTATTCAGTAAGTATCCAGGATATTCAGTATTTCATGTGGATGCAGCTGCCGGGGAGAAGCGGTAGCTTCAGACTCTCTCATCTCTCACATTGTTAAAAATCCAGCATTTACTGTGTCCAGACAAAGCTGCATTGTCACCAAGGTGGATGCACCTTCTGTGCCAGCTTTGTTCTTTCAGCAGCAGCCGTACCTTGTTGTAATAACAGCAGAGGGGTCATGATGCTCGGCCAGAGGTATTTTTCATGGCAAAAAAAAAAAGGTCGAGAGCATGCAGAAAGTTTAGTTCAGCAGCCTTTAAATTTTAAGTGATAAGTTAGGTGCAAAATAAATCAGGATACTTTAGAAACTGGGGGGTTTGCTGTCATCAGGAGCACGTCTAAAGCCAGCGGAAGGATAAAAGCGGTATCAGAAGGATAAAAGTGTCAACTCTTTTCCCTCTGCTCTGCAGATAATGCTGATGGAAAACACCCTCCTGCTGCTGTTGGCCACCCGGTTCCTTCAGGCAGAGCTGAGGGACAGCCTGTGTGTGACCGGGGCCGTCATGTCAGGGTCTGTAATAGGTAAGATCTCCTGTTTTTTAGAGCCTGGATTGCGTATTTTGAGAGTAAATGAGCATCATCAGTTATTTTAGTTGCAAACGAGAATCGCCAGTTATTTTAGTTGCATCAGACTATTTGCTCTACTTTCTTCCAGCTTAGGCATCTGAATGTATTTGATAACGTTAAATCCACCCTGAGTTTCAGTTCTTCATCGTTTCTTAAAAGCCCATCCCTGAAGAGGGATTCTTGCAGAAATGATCGACATATCCCCAGATGGCTCAGGTGCCACTACCAAATACAGTTCTGAGGCACAGTTTTCTGTGATTTCTTTGATCTTGGTGACTGGTGCAGGCAGGGCTATAACACAGGGGATCACTGCAAGGAAACATTTTCATCTGAGCATATACTGATGGTTTGTGCAGGTGGCTTGGGACGGATGAGCCATCAGTGGGTATGTTTTGGAGATACGCTGGTGTGGGATCATGCAGAATACAGCAGCTTTCTCCCACCCTGTTTTTTAAAAGGCCCAGCAAACGGAGAAGCTTTTTCTGCTCATGGGGAGGATTTTTTGGTACGTGAGGGAGAAGGTACCCCTTACCTTGTCCGTACCTTGCCTTACTCCTTACCCTGCCCATAGAGGAGGCAGCAGCCACAACCAGCTGGTGCATTTAATTCCCCAAAGCTTTAATCCAGCTGAAGGAGAGGTTGTATGATGCTTGCAGACAACCTGTCGTCACCTTTATTGGCAAAACTGGCACTGGGCAAGGATGGGAGTTGTTGTTTGGTGGGTGAGGTCCCCACCAAGCTCCTGTTCTGCCAGTGGGATGGGGGAGAGGGAAGCTGTGACAGCAGTGTGCTGGGCTTTGTGCATCTCCCCAGGTCGGCTGCACATAGATGAGCCACGTAGAAGAACAGGGCTGGGAAAGGAACAATTCCTCTGGCCTTGAAGGAGTTCAGAGTCAGAGTTGTTTAGGTTGGGAAAGACCTTTAAGTCCAACTGTTAACCCAGCAATGCCAGATCCATCACCAAACCATGTTGCTAAATTTAGGAGAGAAGTTGGAAATGTCTTAAAAACCTGCTGATGTCTCATTTAATGACTAGAGGGGGATGCTGTGAGATGGGAAGGACTCCTGGTATCACACACTCCTCCCTGCCCTGTGCCCCATCTGCTGGCGCTCAGCACCTGCCTCACTGTGGACCTACCAGTCTGCTGAGCAGATCAGACTGAATCATGGAATTGTTAAAATTAGAAAAGACCTCTAAGATCGTCTAGTCCAACCGTCTGCCCAGCACAATGATGACCACTAAACCATGACCTGAAAGGTCACATATACAAATTTTTTTAACACTTCCAGGGTTGGCAACTCCACCACTTCCCTGGGCAGCCTGTTCCAGTGCCTCACCATTCTTTCAGTAAAGAAATTTTTCCTAATATCTAATCTAAACCTCCCCTCGTGCAACTTGAGGCCATTTCTTTTTTCCTATCATTAGTGAGTTGGAAGAAGAGACCAACATCCACCTCGCAACAGCCCCCTTTTAAGTAGTTGTAGAGACCAATGAGGTGTTCTCTCAGCCTTCTCTATAGAAGAAGTATGATCTTGAGAGGGCTCAGCCCTGAAAGCTGCTTGAATGTGATTTTTGCACCCCTGAAAATGCTTGAAAGACGTGCTGCTCAAGCACCAGGTGCCCACCAGTGTCTCTGCAAAGGGCCTGTTGATCAGCAGGTGGCGGCAAGGTCTAATCTCTCCTTCAGACCTCACCGAAATGCTGCTGGGATTTCTCTCTTGACACCTTGCTGCTGTTTTTCAGGTGCTGCAGCTCTGGTGGTTTATTACAGCCTGCTCCATCCCAAGTCCACAGAGATCTGGCAGGGCTTCCTGAAGACAACCTGCAGTGCTGGGGTTGCCGGTGATGACAAGGCTGCTGGAGATGTCTCTCAAGCGGGGCAGAGTTCAGGAATTTCAGGAGGTGGAGAGTCTTTGGCTGGGGAAGGGACCATGGCAGATCCCAAAAATGGGAATGGCTCATCTCTCCTGCAGTTGGGAGGGGGTTTGGAGGACAGCTGGACAAGCCATCACCACTGGCTGCTGGTAAAGCTGGCTTTGAAGACAGGAGATATGTCCGCCATCAACGCAGCTTTTGGAGATGGTGGCGTGGGAGAGGTTTACCCTGGGCAATGGATGATGGGGAAACCCTCCGGTGCTGAGCCTGGGGCAGACTTTTCCCTCCCCACGAGGGAAATTGATCCTCGGGGTGTTGAATCAGGTCTGAGCGATGAGAAATCGCCGGTGGCAGGGAAGAGAGGAGGCAGCAAACCCATCGTTGGTGCTGCAAGAACAGCGCAGGAGGATGGAGCAAGGCAGGAGCCTGCTTTTCACTCGGCCGTGCCCTTTCCCAGCAGCTTCTCCCTGGATCCAGCAGAAGGTTCCTCTGTGTATTTCAGCGCGACTGTGGGAGGCATCACCTCGCCCAGCACAGGGACAGCAACATGCATGGCCGTGGTGCAAAAGGACAATGAAACCCAGTCTCCTCCAGGCAGCCTGGGAGAAGGAGAGGGAGGAAAAGGAGGAGGAGGAGGGGATTTGTCCCTTGGGATAGAGAGCATCAGCCCAATCCTGGGCGCTTGTGCCCACAAGCATCTGCGGAGCAGCTCTTCCGTTGGCGACTGCGGGGTGACGGGTCCCCTCAAAGAGGGCTCGGAGCCTGTGGAGCTGGAAGGTGCCCTGGTGGAGTGGCATCACCTTTGGGACACCCACCCTTGTGTGACAGGAGGGACTGTGGCGAGGAGCAAGCTGAGGTCACCGTGCTTCACCTCCACCCCCAAGGCCGACCCTAAATGCCCCCAGCGAGGACCGGGGGAGCTGGGAGAGGGGACAGACCTGTGTGGGTTGGCGGAGTGACCCTGTAAATTGCTGCACCATCGTGTTGTGTCGGCACTGGGGTGGCTGCCATGTTGGGGGGATACCACAGGAGGGGGGGGGGATACCACAGGAGGTGGTGGGGCATTAATGCTGGCCGTGAAGGCTGTCCCCATGGTGCCTCTGCCGCTGGGCAGATGTGGTCCTCCATCACTTGGACATCACCTTCCCTCCCAGTGCATCTTCTACCTGCAGTTTTGGAGAGCTTCAAACGTCCTAAAAAGCCTTAAAAGTCCAGGTTTAGGTATTTATTAAACTTATTTATGTTACAGTCCTAGGCAGCTGGAGCATGCTGCCTTTGAAATATTTGTGACAATGTCTCGAAGCATGTCCCTTGACAAGTGCCTACACAAGCTGCTGTCCTGTCGCAGCGTGGAGATCTGGCTCCTGTCTCCAGAGGGTGACCAAAGCAGGAGTCTTCTCAGGAAAAACAAGTGCCTAAAGAAAAGAAATGAGTTTTACTTTCAGGTGCCCACCCTTCTGGACAGAACATGCCCTAAAATAAGGCTCAGCAGTGCTTAATCAAGCACTTTTCCCCCCACCAAGTTCATCTTGAGAGCTTTACCAGCTCCATTTACTGGGGCCCAGACCCTCCTCAGACTGCAGACCACAAAATCAGGACCCGGAATGTGGTTCACAGACAATCATAGACAGAACTATAGAGAAAAGCCATGTCCCTGCTTGCTTCCCAACCTTCCTGCTTCCTCCAGCCACCTCTTCTGTCCGTACTTTTCCTTGTCCCCTTCCACTAAGCTGCAGATAATCCAGATCTGGCTGGATGCTCCCTCCTAAATGTCCCGCTGCAGACAGGACTCTGGCAGCAGAGGGAAGGCAGCAGGAAGGACAGACATGCAATGAATTATTAAAAAAACCCCAAACCTTCCATGATGCTCAGGATTGACTGAGCCAGATGATTCTTCAAGCTGATCTGGGCGGTGAAAACACACTTGGTGCCTGTTTTAAAGTGAAGCCACTTTCGGAGGCAGTGAAAGCTCCATGTCTCCATGAAGCCACTTTTCAGGGTGGTGAAAGCTCCATGTCGCTATTCAGAGCCAGCATCACCATGCTGTGACTGTGGTTTGCAGAGAAGAAGCAGCTGCAGCAGCTTTTCCGGAGTCTTCCTCACAATGTGCGACTGCCGTGGCAGTACGGAAATTTTTATTGAGTTTGCTTTTCTACCTCTGATAATGATATATAATGGTGCTTTTAAAAAAACAAACCAGCCTTTGCTGCATCTGTGTCTTGCGTTGGGGGTGTAAAAGTCCTCTGGAACGTGGTTTGGGGATGTTGGACCTTGCTCTCCTGCTGTTTTGCAAGAGAACATCTGTGCGGCTTCCTGGGCTGGATGTGACCTCACCTATACAACTATATAATTTGTACCAAGAGGTCTGATGTTAGCAACCTTGAGAAGAAGCACTAACATGACAAGTCATTGAAACTAGATGCTAAATTAAGACTTGTAATACCTGGGGTAGATTTGGAGCATTTGCTGCAAGATAGCAAGAGCATCCAACCCTGACACCTGGAGTCTAGCACATTGGAAAACAAGCCACCAACCCAAGGATCAGAGTGCATGGCCTTGTGCTCGATGGGAATCTCTCCTTGGACACTCTCCAGCTGCAGCAGTTTTGACCTTGGCTCTACACCCTACAGTTGCAATCCTACATGCCCTAATAGTTCGCGTCAGTGACAAAAAATCAAATGCTTGGTAGGTGAGGTGATGGCTACCCAAATTATGGGCTGCCCTCCAACCTGTGCTGGTTATCACAAGACAAGATTGAGCAGGGAAAACAAATGCATTGAGGGTTTGCTGTTCTGGTCCAGGCCCTTGAGGAGCAGGATTTACGCCGTCTTTCCTGCACTTGTGAGTGATATAAGTGTTTTTCACTCAATAAGCACGGGGTTGCTGCTGTTAACAGCAGGCCATAAGGTTTGTCCTAACTAAACTTGGGCTTAGCAGAAAGTGTCTTGAACAGCCATGAGTCTGTTTTAGCTGTATAGGCAAAAATTGATGAGGGTCCTGAAATGGTTGGGAGGATTTTATCCAAGCTCTGTAGTAGCATGGACTAACTGTAGGTGGGAAAGATCTGATAGCACTGAGCAGCTGTCATGAAACTGTCTCATGGATGAGGCCAGAAAGAAAATATGGCCAAACACACAAATTTAAGAAAGTAGAGGATACTTTGGGGCACAGGAGTCAGGTGTCCTTGAAGGCTTTGATTCCTCAGAGCGCATAGAATCATAGAAACATAGAACAATTCAGGTTGGAAAAGACCCTTGGGATCATCGAGTCCAACCATTAACCCTACGCTGCAAGGTCACCCCTAAACCATCTCACCCAACACCACATCTAAGCGACACTTGAACACATCCAGGGATGGCATGCACAATGCCCAGAGAGACTGGAGGTGCCCCATGAGCTGACATCTCTGACCTCAGAGGAGATGGTGGAAGTCCTAGGCGGGGCGAGGAGTGGCCAAGAGAGGGGGGAGCTCTGGGAGCAGCACCGGAGGGGGCATGACAGCTGAGATACGGGTCGAGGTGCAGGTGTGGGGGCCGTGTTCCCATGGCTCTGCTCCCTGACGATGGGGGGTGGTCACTGGTGAGAGCCTGCCATGCTCCCCCTCGCCTTCTCCTTGGGAGCAACGTGAAATCAGGTGAAATAAGGTGGATTATCTATCCTTAAATAATTGTAGGCTGCGTGAGGGCCCTGCTGCACCCAGTGCTGCATGTTGGGTACAACCCCAGCACTGAACCAAACGCCCCCACCTGTAGAAACTACTTATATTTACTTAAATCTTAGAGCCCTGTTTGGAGTAAGAGAACTGTCCAGCTGCAAATCTCGGCTCCAGATACCCCCTCCCCACCGGTCCCCTCTCTGCAGGGGTGGGGACACTCGATACCCTGGGGCACATT